TAGTCCACCTCACTACCCGTTCGTCCAGTTGTTCATCCAGTTGTTCGTCCAGTATTTCTTACTGTCTTGCTCCTTATGGGCAGGAATCCTTTTCTCTAGGAATTTCCAACCCAGGATGTTTTTAGAAATCTCTATTTTGAGTACACACTGCAGAGGAATGATGTTTTCTTGGGAGTTTTCCAGCTAGTCATACTGTTTCCAATGGTGGGTTTTTGTTGGCTTTTTGTTTGGTTTGTTTTGGTTGGTTGGGGTTTTTTTGGGAGGTAGTGTTTTTTTAGCTTTGATTTATAGTCTGATGTTATGCAAGCAGAGACGAAGAACAGAAACAGTCTTTTCTTAATCTTATGTTACTGTGTGCTTGCCTAGATCCTGTCCCTAATGGACTCGAGGATACTTCCTTGATGGTCATGAGGTAGCAAAGTTACAAAGTTTTCTGAAGAGGAAGATAAGCCATTGCTATCAGGATCTCCAGTTTCTATTTCAGCCAACAACGCTGCTTAATTTTAGTCATATGCTTAAGATCATTCCCACTCTGTGAGAAAGGAACAGAAATGCTTTGCTTAATTTGGAAACTAAGGGTAATTTATTTTGCAAAGCCCTAATTAGTTTAAGAGGTTAAATCTACTGTGTTCATTAATAGTAACTCTTGGAGTACAGTCTATGCTTCCTTAAGAGTCCTAGACTAAATCAGCTGGAATCCAGCCCATCTCAAAATTCCATTTCTGTGGATCATCTCATGTTTCATTATATATTTTTTCCCTGTTGTTTCCCATCAAAATAAAATGGTAGAGATTCCTGTTATCCCCCATCACTTCTGAAGCCCTTGGCTTAGATCTCCTTGAAAATCAAGCCCTAGCTGTATCAAGATATTTAGATATATAGGGAGCCTCACATCCTAGTGGGATTTAGGATCCAGAAGATTTCTGATTGATTCATGAAAAGGGACATCTTAGCCTGAGATGGACATAACCGTTGCTATCCCAACTGTCTGCCACTTCTCAAGTGGCACCTTTCATCAAGTGGGACTCCCCCACTTCTTCTCCAAGTGCAGCAAAAATGAGAGTAACTTCAGGAGCATTAGAGAGTTTGAAGCTGGGATCCCTTACCTCCAACCATGTATTGCAACTAATCCTATGCCATAGGTCTGTAAACCAGCCTGGTGGCGCTCTGTAAAGCCAAGATGATGCAACGCTCTTTTTCCCTCCCAAGGCATCAAGTACCAGATGGCGACAGCATATCAAAACACCAAGGGTCTTTCAGCAAGGAGAGCTAAAAAGGACAGCAAGCAACTGGACTCACTGACCAGAGCAAAGCAACAGGTTAAAGTAGGTCTGAAGAATTCACACAAGCCAGTAAAACTGGTTTTGCTACACTACCACACTACCACTGAATGTCACAGCTAGAGCGACACCTCAGGCCACTCAGAGCCCACAAAGCCTTTCTTGTCTGCCCTTTCAGCACTCTTTAGTTTGAGATATTTCATAGCAGCACTAATTTATAATATAGTGTCTATCCTAAATTGGATTTGCACAGCAACTGCATCATACCTTGGCAGGAGGTGTCACTCATAAGCTAAAAAGTGAAGTCCAGTAATACTCAGCATACACATGGAAGGCAATCTTCTGGGTAATATTCCCGCAAAACACATTCACTACTAGCACTTTTAGGTTAAAAAACCCCACAATAGTTGAAGACTATTAAAAAAATTTATAAAAATCCTGGCTCCATAAAGAACCAACTAATGTCAGATTACCCTAGAATGTACATTAATTAGGCTCTGCCTTTATAATTGTCCATGATTTGCTAAAGCCTATTGTTTGCCACAGCTGAGCAGGAACACTAAGAAAACATTCCAGCAGCAGGGCTATATTTGACCAAGTAAATATTTGACCAAGTAAAGGGCCTCCCCCACAGCTCTGAGTTCAATGTGCATCACATGTCACACAGCAGGAGGGAAGCTGATCTGCCATGCAGTCCCCATCTCTCCTGATGGATTCAGCCCTGCATGCTGTGCTTGCACCTATTAACATTTGCATCCTGCAGGGAGCTGCAGAAGCAAAGCAAGGAATCTCTCCAGAGAAGCCTGGAACAGATTCAGAAGCAAGGAATGCAAAGGAATCAAAGACATTACAAAGATCCAGACTTCACATACCTACCTCACTTAGCTGTAGGTGAGCTAACTGATGTGTTCTACCTTAGCTTTGGCAATACGTTTGCGACCTGTGTTTTGTTTTGGGGTTTTTTTGTTTTCAAATCTTAGCAGTCATTCCCTCCTTCCTACCCCTCATATCTTGTATCTAAGACTCTCATGTTTCTTCCTCTTTCCTTAGCCACCACTGTCCTGCTTCATTTTCCCTGTGCATCCCTACTGCTTCTCAGCCCACCAGGCTACTTTTACAGAGCTAAGCAGAGAATGCAGCACTTCAGAGGCAGGAAGTACCTGTGTGTGCAACTCCCACACATGATCCAGAGTGGGGCAAGAATGAGCTTCCCTGCATGTGACATGAGGGTTGTGCCCCTCAGGATGATCCCATTTTCTTCAGCTCTCCCCTTTACCCATCCTGCTTTCTTATTTCCTTAAATAACTGAGCTAAAGAAAAAGCCTCTCTGCAGTGCCAGTGTAGCACTGAAGCCTAACCATTTGTAGGTCTCTAATGGTTTGTCTGTTATGTCCATGCTGTGCTGCCCAAGAACACTCCCCATTTCCTAGGTAGGCTGTCACAACTCTCATCCTTCTACTAACTCTGTCTTGGGATAAGAGTTGGGTGCACATAGTTCTCTCTTTTCCTCTGTCTGAAAGCCTGGATACACAGCATAGAGTGTTTCTATAGGACTCTTTCTACTTAATTCCATAGAAGTTTCAGGGCTTAATGGGGCAGTAGAAGTGTTCACTGCTGAGAGGTGTGTTTAACACTAATTGCAGGGTAGAGAGTCACCATTAGACCTCTTTACGTATAAAAATGATAGCAATGAAGATTTCCAGCTACCTCTAGCCAGGGGATAGACATCCATCCAATGTATGGTCACATATTGTACAACTGCATTAACGCATGCCTTGGAGATGGTCCTGTACTCTAATGCAAAATATCTGCTCAAGGAAAACCCAATAAACTTTGGTGAAGCCAAACTGTTTTTCTTCTTCTGCCTGCTGATTCTCAGTCACTGAGCCTTTTTATGGAAGTGCCAAATGACAGCACTACACAAGAAAGCCTGGGAAAGGTTAAATTTAATCAGGGATTCAAAGGGTCTTTTAGAAGTCCTCATGGACTCAAAGCTTGCTTTCAACTCACCAGATTTACAGATTATTTTTTAACATAACTTACCACAAATTTCCTGTTAAAATAAGTCTAAAATAAAATGTAGTTGCTGTAAACACCCATCCTTTCCATTATGTACTGTCCATGGGGAAAGACCTAACCACAGCTTGCAACATTCAGAAATTATAGATTAACTGGTGAGTCTTTGTGCTGATATTGCTGGGGATTCTCTGCCATACCATGTATCCCCACCAGTTTCCTTTCAAGCCACATAAGCCAAAATTCAAGGCCTAAGGGAACTGGATGAGAAGGCTAGAGGGAACTTAAGATCAACAGCAACTTGGCCCTCCCTTACACGGGAACTCTTCAGTCATGAATTTCTGCAGCGTCAGCTGTTCTGGCCTGGTTAGTTCACTCTGCAGGAAGCAGTCTTGCTGGAATGCACTATCCAATCCCATTTAACAGTTCCTACCTCTCTGCCATGGCCTGTGTTCACTGCTGGGACAGGCCTGCCCTGTCACATTCAGCACAGGCTCTTTCCTGGAGCTCAGAACATCAGCTTCTGACCAGAGGTTTCTGTTCCTGCAAACAAATTCAGCAGAGCAGTAAGCAGCAGCCAGTGCCAGGACCTGAGTAAATTTCATTCCAACTCGAACAGCATCAGTCTGACCTCTTGAAAGCCACAGCAGAGAGAGACTGTAATTTGAAATGAGGTCATTACAAGAGGAGAGGAAGCGATATTGCTGCTGAGCACATGAGTATGAGAAAAATGGTGAGGGGGTGGTTAAGATTAAACAGCTAGAGATTAACATCTCATGACTGATTTTTGTTCACTGACCTGCAATAAAACAAACAGTAAGACTTTAACAAATATGTGATTAGCCATGTTATTCCAGTGCTGTCTTTGCTGTTAGAGTACTGCCATGGTCTTGACTTTACATTGGCTAAGAGGGGTAAGCAACTGAAATCTTGCTATGCTCATAAGCATAAAAACAGTATTAAATTTTCAAAGTGCAACTACCTGCCCCTTCACTTCTCCCTCCCCTGTTGGCTGGCTGGTGTTTGCACATAAAAATCAAGCCCCACAGATCAGGTGGTTTGCCATTCACATGTTCACATTTTCAGATAGCCAAAATCAGGGAGCTGAAAAGTGCTTGCAGATGTGTGCACAGTGGGACTGGCGAATAATAGCCTCCTGCCACCTTGACTAAAATTTCCTCCTTTGCTAAGCTATATTATCTCCTGAATAAAAAAATAAAAAAAAAAAAGGCTTTGCTGTGATGAGACCAATCAGCCAGGACAACTTCAAACTCTTTTCTTGGTGAGACCACATCTGGAATATTGTGTCCAGTTCTGGGCCCCTCAGTTCAAGAAGGACAGGGAACTGCTGGAGAGAGTCCAGCGTAGGGCTACAAAGATCATTAAGGGAGTGGAGCATCTCCCTTATGCGGAAAGGCTGAGGGAGCTGGGTCTCTTTAGTTTGCAGAAGAGGAGACTGAGGGGAGACCTCATTCATGTTTATAAATATTTAAAGGGTGAGTGTCACGAGGATGGAGCCAGGCTCTTCTCGGTGACAAACAATGACAAGACAAGGGGTAACGGACACAAACTGGAACACAGGAGGTTCCACTTAAATTTGAGAAGAAACTTCTTCTCAGTGAGGGTGACAGAGCACTGGACCAGGCTGCCCAGAGAGGTTGTGGAGTCTCCTTCTCTGGAGACATTCAAAACCCGCCTGGACGCCTTCCTGTGTAACCTCATCTAGATGTTCCTGCTCCGGCAGGGGGATTGGACTGGATGATCTTTTGAGGTCCCTTCCAATCCCTAACGTTCTGCGATTCTGTGATTCTGTGATTCTTTTCTCAGATACACAATAAGCAGCAGACATAGTTCAGAGCTTAGATAAGATGCAGAGTCACTAATTTGTTCTGCAGTACCCAGAAGAGAGTTTTGATCATATGTGCACACTTAGCACCAGATGTCACATGCATACAGTTGATGCCTAC